TGTACTTTTTCAATATCTCCTATCTGCATTATTATCTTAGTATATATTGGTATAAAGCTCTCATCATTACTGCCTGGCATTTATTTAGATGTGACTTGCACTTTTCCAATATCTCCTGCTTGCATTGTTACCTTAGACATGCATATACTTTATTTAGTCACTATTTTGCTGTATACTTCTTATTACTCAATTCGTATTAACATCCCAGAAGTACATATACTTAAATTAGCCATTGAATTTTACTTAGCCTTGATTATCTTGTCGAATATTGTCATTTTACATGCATGTATACCAGATTTGGCTATATATTTTTTTGCTTTGTTTTTATTACTTGATTCATACTTATTAATATCCTAAACATGTGTACACTTAAATTAGCTATTAATTGTTGCTTAGTCTTGATCTTACTGTATATTATCACTTTATATGCATATATTTCTATTCTGGATATTAATCGTTACTTAGCCTGCTTATCAAATATCATATCGCATGCAGTACACTAATATTATAATGCGTAAATCATGATTAATAGATACTATAGATTGTAATCAAGCACGATTGACAAAAAAAAAAAGATAATAAGAATGAAAAATCTTCTATATGCAATAATAACAATAAATATGTATTAAAATACTATTTACAGTATATATCATTTAAACGTATAAAAGGCTTTCCATCTCACTTTTTCAAAAGTTGTTGCTAACTCTTTTATTTCTAAAAAATAAAAAACCTTTCAAATTTATACTTGGCATCCAAAATAACTACCTTATCTATTGATTTTCGATACTAAAATAAAATTTAAATAAGCCTAATTACCTTGATACCTATAATCTTTCGCGATTCGTATATATCTTATTATTACTCGTACATTATGCTATTTCACATACATCAGATTTTTGAAATCCATTCTTTGGAATATGGCGAATGAATAGTTAATTTAATCGATACCAATAGTATATTGCGATCTATAGTAGAGGAAGTAAATTCTGTATACAATACTACTATATCTACTTCTCAGAATTCATCTACCATGGACCATATCATCGAAAATACATCAAATAATCTACAAATTTGAAAATGAAATTTTATGCCAATTTCCATGTGTCCCCTGCTCTGTTTGCTCAAAACTTATGTATCCAGAAAAATCGCTATAGATCTTCAAAGAATCTAATACTACTTATTCGCTTACTACTCATATCCAGATATTATATTGGTTACTAATCCCAATTCACTACCAAATTCTTCATGTAAATCAAACCCAAGTAAAAATTATCCTCCATATCTTTCTCAAGTTCCATTAGAAATAGGACTAGTACCCTTAGAAAAACGCAGATATTTGTCACCTGTCTTCTTACATTGTTCACTTGGTCGTACCTCTGGAGCAAACCCCTTCACAGAATACAGATCGTTAGTTAGTACTATGAACTATTCTCAGAATCTTCATTCTTTAAGTCTATATTCTGGTATATTAGATGCTTTTCTGGAACCTTCTACCACTATTTCAACTCTACTTTGGCTTGATAACTCCTTAATAAATACAGTCAACTGGCTCAAAGAAAATAACCCCTATTTACATATATACACTAATTTGCTTCAAACCAATTCATCTACCCAACCACCTTTACTAACAGCAACTCATTTATCTGGTGATGATAATATAACTCTTATACAACTAGATGAAATTATAGTTCCACATCAAAATTTTCCCACCGAAATTCATAATGAAGATACCCATTATCGTCACCTTATGGCTAGATTTTTAACAAATAACGATTCTAATAGAATTCCAATTTCCTTAAATGATCCTAACCTCGAGCCATTACTTTTTCTCGATTTATACCCTGATGGTCATGCCTACTATCGTGAAACACGTTATTAATCAAGATATACACCACATCGCCATGAAACTTTTGAAAAATATATCAAGCATCGCTTACTTTCGTTAGATCCTCGATTCTGTTTACATCGTTATTGGCCAGCCTAGGCATACCTCCAACTAGAAAACTCAGAAACTTTCAGAATACACAATGATTAGTTCGTCAATCAAATGCTGACTCAACACATCATTTACCGACTGCAATTGAAATTATTGAACGAAGCACCTACACTGATAGTTGGCGCTATAACGAAACTAATACCACACCTATTCCTACATTCATCTGTATGGGAGATACCTATTTCCAACAAAAAACTCTACACTTAAATACAATTATACGTGAATTTGGACTTTTGACTATATTTATTACCCTATCGATAGCAGAAGATTTATAGCATTATCTTCGTAATATTCTCATTAACACTGACAATCATGATCCATTATCTACGAACAGACCATACATTTTATTCATAAGTTACAAAACCTTAAAAAATTTATTTAGAAAGATCCTAAAATTAGTAAATGGGGAACATACCACATTTCTTTGATAGGATTGAATTCCAAAATCATGGTGCAGCCCACCTTCATGGTATTTACTGGACTACTTCCAGTATAAATCAAATGATCGATTTAAATATGATTAAATCAACTCTTCCAAATCCTAACTTAGAACCTGATCTCTACCAAAAAGTTCGCTCATTACAAATACATACCTGCAACTCCAAATGTGGTGGCCCAGCGCCAACCGGTTCTAGATGCAGAAACGGATTTTCTTGTCCCTTTGCTGAACATACCTATTACGATCCAACTAACTATAGATATATATATCAGTATTTAACACCCGAAGACCAATAGATAGTTCTATATCATGCCCCAACTCTAATAGTATGGAATACCTATATGAATGCCCAATATGTCACTAATAAAGAACTTGCTCGGTATATAACCAAATATATAAGCAAATCTGAACCAACTCATCTATTCAACATACAAGAACAATTATGTTATTGAGAATATATCCATACTTGCTAAATGGAATCAATGGAATTAATGTTCCTATTACTTGGCGAACGTATTACAAATTCTTCAATCCAAGTTCAATTCCTAACAACTGATCCTCCATCCACTTAGTCAAAAGCCATACTACTGTTATATATAATTGACCCTAACAATGACAATTCTTATTGGTCTGACAAAATAGAAAAATACTTCGCTTGTCCAAGTGATCCCATATTCGATATGATAACGTACAAAACTTATTTTGAAACTTATGAAATTAAATTTACCAGACCATCTAACACTTAAAGAACAGTATATCAGGATACCTTAGGAAACTTCATCATTAAGCACAACAACAAGATACTAGTCCACTACCGATTTTTAAGAACAGAAAATGGCAAACCATATTTCTACCAACAACTTCTACTAAAATATCCTTGCAGATCTGAACAAGAAATGCTTGGATCCTACCAAACATACTGAGATCACTTTCTCTCCTGATTTCCTGACATATACCAATCTATAATTGCCCAAAATTCAGAATTTATCTCAAACTACACAACTTATGTCCTAAACCAATACAATACAATAATTGAGACAATCGTCTTTTCGTTACAACCTATCCTAACCGGTAACATAGTCAACCTTATAAAGATACAATTAGACTCGCTCAAAATACTACCCGTATAATACCTGCAAATATAATAGTCAGTCTAACTTCAAGTCAATATCATTGCTACCAAACAATAACAAATTATCTAGGTAAACGAGATGCCTCATATTACCCTTACTTCTTCATTACTGGCTTAGCTGGTAACAGCAAATCTTTATAATTCGTATATTGCTAGAATACTTCCAAAGAATTGGCCAAAACTATCTACTAATGGCCTCCACTAGAATTGCTGCCTTAAATATAGGCGGAGCTGCAATCTACTCTGCATTGCGAATAATATCAGATAAAAGAGAATTTCACTCCCTTATATTTTGCGATACAAACTTCTGTAATTCTTTTCTTCAAATTGATACTCTTATAATCAATGAAGTTTCGATGATATCAGGTCCATTACTAATATACATCTCTGAACTCTTCAAACACCTACACAAAAATAACTACCTATTTGGAGGAATCAGTATTATCTTAGTTGGTGACCTTGCCCAATTACCTCCTATCAACGCACCTCCTGTATATCAATCACTAATATGGAAAATTTTCTTTCCATTATTTCTTCGTGATCCTCAAAGACAAAATGATGATACCCACTTCTACACTCTTTTACAAAAAATTAGATATGGTATTATAGACGAACAAGTTTGGAATATATTATCACAAAAATTACTAGAAACTATCCAATTACCCCAACTAGATACAAATCTCAATACTACTCACATAGTAGATTATCGCAAAACTGCCAAATTAATCAATAGAACAATTTGTACCTCAATCTCCACCCACAAAGATAAAGTCCTAATTTTTGACTGTGTCGATATCATAGACGATCAAATATGTCCTACCAATTCAAGATGTCGTGAATTTGCAAATAAAACAAATCTTCCTAGTACTGTTAGAATTCAACCCAGAGCAAGAGTCATGTTTTTGAACAATTCCCAATACAGACACCGCATAGCCAATGGTACCGTAGGCATTGTAACAGATCTCAATTTACAAATTGGCCTGGTGTATGTCAGTTTCTGTGTTG